GAAAATCAGGAAGCCTTATTACCTTGTTTTAAAAGCTGTATCTAACATACTTAACTTAGTTTTCCATTGATCTAGCTTCCTGTGTTCTACTCTGAATGCAGCACGGCTGGCTTGCCTTGCAAGGCCTCAGCAGAAGGATCCCACGTACACACAGGGTATGGTATGGCAGCACTTAAGAAATCTTATCCCCAGATGGTTTTATTCCAGGTCTGTGACTGACTACCTTCATTGTTGTGGGTGGGATGGTTTCACCCCTTGGATATACAGCTATTTCAGCACAAAACAATGTTAAGTCTTTATAATCAATAAATCACCTTCTTCCCCTTTATGTGCAGCTGAAAAATGACAGGCTAGGGAAAGAACATTGTACTAGTGGAATTATCACTCATTAAAAGATCATTAGCTAACAGTCACTAGATTTACATATTAAGGAAATTATATATAGAATACTGCAAAAACACAGTAAAAGACTGAAGTTTGCCCATTTCTGCTCAGGAAGTCCCTTCACTCCCAAGCGTTGTAATATGTTGTCCCGTGGCTCCTAAGTTTAGTTTTACTACTGTTTCTCTTCTTTTTGGTCTTCCTTTTGTTCCCCAGTGCTAGAACTTCCAGAGCCTTCTCGCTCAGAGGCCATCTGTTAAGAAAACATTTGACAATCACTCTAATGTTAAGGCTGACAGTTTGCCCTCTGGAGCCATATCCTGCCTATTCCACACCCCTTCCTCCCCCATACATTATTGGTGGTTTCTGCCACCCCTTCCCTTTGACCTTACCCTCCCTTGAAAAGTAGAGTCAAGAAGAAAAAAGGGTATTTTCAACACTCCCAGTTCTATAAATAGCTATGTAGGGAGCCACCAGGGAGAATAATCAAGAGCAGTTACATCAAGATCAAGTGAGAAGGAAATAGTCATTCAGCAAAACCCCTTTAGTCCTTCCTTGTACCTTTTTGTATGCCATTTCGAAGAGCTTCAATGATGCTTGCTGAAGGGAAGATGCTGCCTGCCTTATGTTTTCTCCAGTTTCACTGTCTTTTCGAGCCAGGAGCTCCCTCATTTTGGAAATCTCTTCTTTCAGCTTGTTGCACTTAAAAACAAAATGAAACAAAAACCCTCACTTTTTTTTTTTTTTTTAATATCCTCACCTGAGGACATTTTACCATTTTTTGTTCAGATTGAGTGGAAGGGAGAGAGAGGAAGAGAGAGAGAGAGAGAGCGAAACATTGACGTGTAAAGGACACATCGAGTGGCTGCCTCCCGCAAAACCCAACCAGGGCCAGGGACAAACTGCAACCAAGGTATGTGCCCTTAGTGGGAACCGAACCCGGGTCTCGCTGGACTGCAGACCAATGCTCTAACTGCTGAGCCAAACTGGCCAGGACTTTTTTGGGTTTCTTATCCTATTATATGAAGCAGTAATATTCAGAAACTTTTTTTTTTTTTTTTTTAAATCTTATCCTGACCCAAGGACATTTTTGGATATTTTGTTCAGATAGAGTGGGAGGGGAAGAGAGAGAGAGAGAGAGAGAGAGAGAGAGAGAGAGAAACATCGATGTGAAAGGGACACATCGAGTAGTTGCCACCCGCACAACCCAACCAGGGCCGGGGACAAACTGCAGCTGAGGTATGTGCCCTTAGCGGGAACCGAACCCGGGTCTCTCGGGACCGCAGGCCAATGCTCACCCGCTGAGCCAAACCAGCCAGGGCTCAGAAACTTTTAAAAACTTAATTCCTATCAAGACCCATACACTGAGCCCTCCCTCTGGGGAGCAGGCCAATGCCTTTCTCTTCCCCTTCCCCTCCCCACCTTCCCCTCCCACAGGCACACATCCCCTAAACTCTAAGAAATCACATGGGCAGCTGCAGTTCCTCCTGGGCAAACCCCCTAAACCTGTCCCCAAGGCCCCCTTTTCTCTGACTTCTTAGCGAGCCAAAGCAGCCCAGCCTAGGCTCATTTTTCCACCTAGTCCCTCTTTCCTGTTATCCTAGGTCTTTCCTTGTTTCCCTGTCCCCAGTTTTAATAAACATGCTCTAAAATTCAAACAAAAAACCCCAAAAAAACAAAAACCCCATACAGACAAACTGCATTTACATTGGTGACAATGCCTCCCAACTTCTTGAGCTATTCTATTATAAAAGAGGGCTCACCTCATCAGCAGGCAATTGGTCCTTAAATTCTTCCATCTTGCTCTCTGTATCATGGATGATTCCTTCAGCCATATTAACTGCTTCAACTCGTTCCTAAGAGACAATAGAAATTGAAAACTTCCCAATCAATTCTTTGGCTGAAGGTCCTCACTGAGAAACAACATGCTGACTGTTGCATATAGTTACAGAGTGAAAACAGTAAGAGGGAGAAATCACTTTGGCTGGTGTGAGGTAGTCTGAGATGTCTATGAGAAATTTCAGCTAGATTTTATAACATAATAACTGAAATGAGAAGACTAGGAATAAATAATAAAGACATTCCACGTAAGCTATCAGCAAATGGGGAGAAGGGATAGACTGAGGGTAACAGAAAATATAAGATCAATGACAAATGTTGAACTCCCACTTTCATGTCCCAGCTGAAAAGGCAGAAAGTACTAATCACCTTCTTTCGCCTGTCTTCCTCCGCATACTTCTCTGCATTTTTAACCATATTTTCAATATCATCCTTGCTTAACCCACCGGAAGACTGGATCACAACTGTAGCGAAAAGAAAGCATTTCGTTATTTCTCATGTAAAATGATGTCTCATCCTCTATTGTATTAAAAATAATATTCCTGCTCAGAATAGCCAACCTTGATGTAAATTATAAAGAGGAATATCCTGTTGTCCTATAATAGGCAGAAGGAAATCAAGGTCTGATATATACAAACACCAACTATCCTGCCTGTCTGCTAAAACTTTTGGCTCAGCAATCCAGAGGCTCAGTGTGCTTGCCTATTTTTGGAATAAACACATCTGTTAATATGAATCTGATAACTAAAGAGAAGAGGGGCAAAGGACTCATCATCCCCCAGAGGCTGGCAGAAAAGATATGCACAACCTAAAGGGTCTAATTCCCAACAGAAAGGAACTCCAAGGTCCCTTACTTCATTCTGACTGTCTGATAGGAACACTTACTCTGTTGCTCACGTCCTGTGCCCTTATCTTTGGCAGAAACATGTACAATTCCATTGGCATCGATGTCAAATGTAACTTCAATCTGAGGGACCCCACGAGGGGCTGGGGGAATTCCAATCTAAAACAAACAAACAAATTAAGTTCCTCTCACAAAGAGGTCCAGCGCTCTAGTTTTAAACCTATGCAGTATTCTGGGGAATAAGTCACTTGATTCCAGGGAGGAACAAGCTATAGCTTCACTTATATAAATGTACAAAAACAAGTTTGTAAGTAAACACAGTGCTTCTACTGCTACCTAAAATAAACAGGGTTCATACCAGTGAAGGTTGGCTATACCAAGTAATCACAATGGCTATATGTACTCGGGGACACAATGAATAATAAGAGCAAATCACATTATTGTTCATCTTATTAAGAACCAAAAAGTGATGCTAAAATGTCTCTTAAATTAGTAACCAGAAATTTCTCCTAATTAGCATTGTCTACAAACACTTCCCTGTCTCTTATATACTTATAATATTCTTTTGTCTTAAAAATGTTTTGAGCCCTGGCCGGTTTGGCTCAGCGGTTAGAGCGTCGGCCTGCGGTCCTGAGAGACCCAGGTTCGGTTCCCGCTAAGGGCGCGTACCTCTGTTGCAGTTTGTCCCCGGCCCTGGTCGGTTGTGTGGGTGGCAGCCACTCGATGTGTCCCTTTCACATCGATGTTTCCCTCTCTCTCTCTTCCTCTCTCTCCCTCCCACTCTACCTGAACAAAAAATGGAAAAATGTCCTCGGGTGAGGATAAAAAAAAAAAAAAAAGTTTTGATATTTTTAGAGCGAGAGAGAGAAACATCAATGAGAGAGAAACATCGATCAGCTGCCTCCTTCTTGCACGCCCTGCAGTGGGGATCGAGCCTACAACCTAGGCATGTGCCCCAACTGGGAATCAAACCGGGACCTCAGTCCATGAGACGATGCTCAATCCACTGAGCCATACCAGCTGGGCTACTTATAATATATATATATTTTTATCCTCACCAGAGGACATTTTTGCATTTATCTTTAGATAGTGCAGAGGGAGAAAGGGAGGAAGAGAGAGAGAGAGAGACATCAATATGAGAGAGACACATCGAGTGGCTGCCACCCACAAGACCCCATCGGGGGACGGGGACGAACTGCAACCAAGGTGCATGCCCTTAGCGAGAACCGAGCCTGGGACTCTCTGGTCTGCGGGCCAACGCTCTAACCACTGAGTCAAACCGGCCAGGGCTAATATTCTTAAAGTTCATAAGGCACAAGTGAGACTTTCAGGCAAAAACTGAAGGCAAGGGTTATCCAGTTGCTGAATCTGTATGTACACTATGTTAAGATAACAGATTATGTGTTTTCAGCAGTTTATAGAAATATTAATAGGGGTTAAAATACAGTCTAACTTTACAATAAAAAAAGAATGAGGAGCATATTTAGGATTCCCAATACCCACCAAAGTAAACTGTCCAAGAAGTTTGTTGTCTCCAGCCATCTCTCTCTCACCCTGACACACTTTAATCTCCACTTGAGTCTGACCATCAGCGGCTGTAGAAAACACCTAGGGAAAAAGAAACTTTCCGGGTTGGTAGTCTAATTAAATCATTCCCATTACGCAAAGTACAAGCCAAAGAAAGAAACTCACACTGCAACATTAGAAGAGTCCTAATGTACAACATTTTCAGAACAAAATGTTATGTCTTTGTTGGGAAAAGGAGAAGGATTAGCACAGCAAAAAGGCATGCAATAGCTATTGTTTCTGCTAAGCAAATGAATTGTACAAAGATGCAGCATTGGCACAGAAGGCCGCAAGAGAACAAGCAAAAAAAAAAACGAGATGCTGAAACATGCTCATCCAGGGAAACAGGTCAGAGATAAAATACGTATTTTGTGCTCAGTCACAGGAAGTCATCACACACTTTTCTTCAGAATGATGTGTTGATGATAACATCACGGCACAAATATAGCAATAGCCAATTAAAAAACAAAAACAAAAAACCATAAAAATTGGGAAAGTCAGAAAATAATTCTTAATCCAAGACCCAAGTCATTGTCTAAATAGCCCTACTTGGCATCTCAGGACATTCATCCTTCACCCCTAACAGAAGCACTTGCAGTGTCTTGGCCAGGCCACTCTTTATATTGCCTTTGAGAACAGAAGAGTTTAAAGAATTTAGTCCCAGGTGATGAGGCCTTTTTGGGTAACTTAAAAAACGAAGTTTTCCAAGAAAAGCTCACAAAAGTGGCTGCAATCACATGCCTCACAGAACCCAGCATTTCTTGTGACAAGGTAGGAAGGGGAGGCTCTTACCTGGCTTTTCTTAGTTGGAATAGTGGTGTTCCTGTTGATAAGTTTGGTAAATACACCTCCCAGAGTCTCAATACCCAAAGAAAGGGGAGTGACATCCAAGAGCAACACATCTGTGACATCACCAGCCAAAACACCTCCCTGAATGGCAGCTCCAATGGCTACAGCCTCGTCAGGATTAACAGCTTTACTTGGGGCTCTACCAAAGAGATCCTGCACAGTCTGCTGAACCTGAGCATCAAGAAAAGAGAACCTGTTATCCACTACTCAAAGCACCTAACTGCCCAAGAAGGGGAGAAAGAACCCATGTGTGTCCCAAGACTCTAGGCAAATCATAGGATAGGTTGCTTCAGATCCAAGAATTTCCCTCAAATCACTAGTATTTCATAGTTGAATTCTTGTTAATGATCTGACTGTATCACATAGGTAGTAGCACTCATATAAGTTGACTCATATATGTCATTCATAGCCCTTTTAAATTTGGGAAGAAGTTGTCTAAGTTTGTTATCTGGTTTCCCCTACAACACATTAAATTAGAAACAGAGGGTGCAGCCCTGGCCAGTGTGGCTCAGTTGGTTGGCTGTCATCCTATCCTGTACATTGAAAAGTTGCCGGTTCGATTTCCGCTCGGGGCACGTGCCTAGGTTGTGGGCTTGATGCCTGGGTAGTGTGCAGGAGGCAGCCGACTGATGTTTCGCTTTCGAATCAATGTTGCTCTCTCTCTAATATTAACAACAAATCAATTAAAAAAAAAAAAAAAAGAGGGTGCAAGGCACGGGGACTTAGAAACTGTATAGTCCAAGTCCTCTTCTACATAGCAACTAAAAACCAGCTTAGAAGAAATGGTGCGGTGGTCATAAAATGACAACACGGGTACTAAGACAAAACATGTTCCCCCCTCCCCAAACTAATGCTAGGAAAAAGTGCTACTTAAATAGCATCTGGGATAATTTGTTAACACAGAGATATCCTCCTGGTCCGAAGCCTCCTTTTTCTCTCCAGATTTATTCTGTGTGTATTTTCCTAGGCCCACATACTCAAACAATTAGGGAAATATCAAGGCCCAAGATAATTCTATGAAAGCTATAAAGAATTGCATCTTCAGCCCAGCTGGTGTGGCTCAGTGGCTGAGCGCCAAACCATGCACCAAAAGGTCACCGGTTTGATTCCCAGTCAGGGCACATGCCCAGGTTGTGGACCAAACCCCCAGTGAGGGGCATGCAGAAGGTGGCCAATCAATGTTCTCTCTCTCTCTCCCTCTAAAATCAATGAGAGAGAGAAAAAAAAAATCATTAAAAAAAAGAGAATTGCATCCTCAACAGGTTCTGTACTCAGTCATTACCTTTCCGCACACCTGTCTTTTCAGAATGATGTGTTGATGAATAGAATAAATGCACCACTGCACAAATCTCTATTGAAGAAATACAATTAGAAAGCCCTACTATGCTGAAAAGGCACATGTACAAAATTGCTCCACAGAGGCTAATAACACAGTTTTGATACACACACACACACACATTCAGAGAGAGGAAAGGAGAGGGAGAGAGAGAAACATCAATCACCTGCCTCCTACATGCCCCTTACAGGGGACCAAGCCTGTAACCCAGGCATATGCCCTGACCGGGAATTGAACCAGCAATCAACCTAGCCACACTGGCCAGGGCAGTATTAAAGTTTTAAGCTATCTCTGACCGCATATGTTCAATCCTAAAAATTCTTCAGGAGTCTCCCTGCCACCACCCCAAAGACATTGTGTCCTTCCTAATACTTTTTGTTATACCTTTCAATTTTAAAGAGGCTGAGCCCTGGCCAGTTTGGCTCAGCGGTTAGAGCGTTGGCCTGCGGTCCGGAGAGACCAGGGTTCGGTTCCCGCTAAGGGCACGTACTTCGGTTGCAGTTTGTCCCCGGCCCTGGTTGGTCATGTGGGTGGCAGTCACTCGATGTGTCCCTTCAGGTCGATGTTTCTCTCTCTCCCTTCCTCTCTCTCCCTCCCACCCTATCTGTACAAAAAATGGAAAAGTATTCTCTGGTGAGAATAAAAAAATAATAATAATAAATAAAAAGAGGCTGAAAAGTACTCTTTAGTTAGGCACAAATTCATCCTCCTTTCAGCATTACAGTGGAAGAAAGGCCACATATTCATGTCCCTATACACCATAAGCCATCTGTCCCAAGAAAACACGTGCTGGTCCTCTCTACCCTCCATGTTGAGAATTCCACGGGTCCATCCATACCTTGGGCATTCTAGTCATGCCACCGACAAGAATCACTTCTCCTATGTCACTCTTGCTGACTTCTGCATCTTGCATGGCTTTTTGGCATGGGGCGATGGTCCTCCTGATTAGATCAACAACAATCCCCTCAAACTGAGCCCGGGTCAGCTTCATATTCAAATGCTTAGGTCCAGAAGCATCCATTGTAAGATATGGCAAGTTGATGTCAGTCTGTAAAGGAAGCAGAAAAACCAGTAGTGGTGAAGTTTCTTTATTCAATTAAATACTGTAGTACCGGAAGACTTTGAATGCCACAGTGGTCACAACTACTTTAAAGGATAGTCACTACAGACAGTGACTCTTTAAGAATCAACCCCTTACCTTCACAAAAGTAAACACTACAGAATCTATTATTAAACAATGAAGAACAGAGGAGAGAAGCAGGAAAAAGCCATCTTCAGAAGATGGAGAAATGTTCTGTAACCCAGGGTGGGGGAAAAGTTGATTTACAGTTGTTGAGAACACGAAACGGCTTATTCCTATATTCTTTATTAATTATTGTATTATTTTCCATACAAACAACTATAAACCTACTTTTGCCCCACCCTGTATATGAAGAACCACATTACTGCTTTTTACCAACAATCTTAAAAGGTATGCTCTGAACCAAACAACCTGCCACCAAGCCAAAGTTTTAAGTTTCAGAAAGAAGATTAGAAAGCTATAAACAATAGAAATGCTTAAAGAGAATTACAAGGACCCAGATGGTGTAGCTCACTGGTTGGGCATTGACCCATGCACCAAGAGGTCACTGGTTCGATTCTTAGTCAGGGCACATGCCCAGGTTGTGGGCCAAATCCCCAGTGGGGGGGCATGCAGGAGGCAGCTAATCAATATTTTCTCTTATTGATGTTTCTCTCTCTCTCTCCCTCTCTAAAAATCAATAAAGAAAAAAAAGACTAAGGGGAGCAAATCCTTAACTACCTTTCCTCAGGTAAAGCCCCCGGGGCCTATTAAATGCTTAATTGTAACAACACACCTTCTGTAGAAATAGTATTACTGGGTATTGCCTTAAAGAACACTATTGACAATTTCCTTTTTTTGCAAAATGTCAATAACCCAAATCAGAAAATAGAATTTAATCATCCATACCAATATGATCCAATAGAACTTTCTGTGACAATGTTAATGTTCTATAATCCATGTTGTTCAATTCAGCAGCCACTATAGCTACTTATCACAGAGCTCCTAAAATACAGCTAGCACAACTGAGGAACAGAATTTAAAAATTGTGTTTAATTTTAAATATTCACACGTGGCTACTATATAAGTGTAGTTCTGTATGCTGTAAGTAAATAACAACCTAAAGAACTTCAGGATTCTCAACTCCATAGAACTCGTTCATCAGTTTTGTTCTTCACCTTTGTCAAATCCAAATCTCTCTCCCTATAACACTCAAGTCCAAATCCTCCCTCTCACCATCTGGTGTACTACAATAGCCTCCCAGTGATTTCCCATATCCATTCAGGCTGCCCTCTGCCACAGAACCCCTCCCCACTGAAAACAAAACTTCACCTCAGCCAAAGCACTTTTCATAAACCCAAATATGACCATTTTACTGGCCCCACATGAAGTTTTCAGTGGTTTCTACTCATTCATCTCAGGATAGACACTAAATCACAAATCTATAAAGCCCCTAGCCTCCTGTCCCATGCTCCCCCTGCCTGTATGTACTTTAGCCACACTGACCCCTTCTCAGGTCTTCAACCCAGTGCTGCATACTTGACCCATTTTCATTTCCTGATTAACTCATCTTTCAGAAGCTTTCCTTGCTATGTTAAATACCTCTGTCAACTGTCAGAACTAACTTTGCCCTTTTTAAAAAAATCCTTACTTGAGGATATTTTTCCATTTATCGTCAGATAGAGTGGGAGGGAGGGAGAGAGGAGGGGAGAGGGAGAGAGGGTGAGGGGGAGGGAGAGAGAGAAAGAGAGAGAGACAGACAGACATTGATTGGCTGCCTCCTGAGCACTGATGCTCTAACTGTGAGCCAAACCGGACAGGACCTAACTTTGCTTTTTACTACATTAATAATAGCTGACATTTAGAGTACTTACTATTTAGTACATGCTGTCCTAAGCACATTACATATATGCATGAATTTAGTAATCCTTGCAACTCTAAAGGGGAAAACAGCACTATTATCTTATTTTATAGATAAGACAAAAATGTGCGACTAAGGTCAAACAAGTGGTGAAATAGGACCTGAACCTCAGCAGTCTACTTGTAGAGACACTCAACCTCTACATCACATTACTTCTGGTTTGACACTTAGTATCATGTTCTGAATAATGTCCACCTCCTACACTACACTAAACTACATTAGAGTACTGTTTCTCAGAATTTATCCTACAGATCAACAACCACAGATGCACAAATGTTAATGTACAAGGATGCTCAATATACCTTGCTATAATGGCAAAATGCTGGAAAACAACCCAAATGCATCAATAGAATACAGTAGATCGTTGAATAACGACATTTTGTCATAACATTGATGAGATGTCATAGGAATTTAACTATTGTTTATATCAATTAGCCTATGGTAAAACTAGATTCCTTATACAACATTGTGCTTGAAGTCGCAGGACCTATTGATGACGTTAAGTGAGGATTTACTATATAGCTACACTAAAACCAACCAACCTCTCTCTCCAAAAAGTGTCAGACCCCTGGGAAGAATTATAAGCTATTCTCTGGCAGTACCACAATATTTCTACCCCAACCCTACCCATCATCTTGTTGCAAAGTTATGCTTCTCTGTACAATAGCAGGAAATGAAGCAACACCATCAACATCAGGGGCGACTTTGTACAACTTAGTCACACCTCAATGCTACTTAAAAAAAAAAAAAAAAAATTCCTGCCTTGGCTGGTTTGGCTCAGTGGTTCCAGCATGGGCTAGAGGACTGAAGGGTCTCGGGTTCAATTCCGGGTCAAGGGCATGTACCTGGGTTGCAGGTTTGATACCGCGGCCCTGATCAGGGCTATGCAGGAGACAACCATCCATGTTGTCTCTCTCACATTGATGTTTCTCTCCCTCGCCAACTCTATCTAAAAATCAATAGAAAAATATCCTCAGGTAAAGATTAAAAAAAAAAAAAGCCTTAGGCCCTGGCCGGTTTTGCTCAGCAGTTACAGCGTGGGCCCTTGGACCAGAGAGACCCAGGTTCAGTTCCCGCTAAGGGCATGTAACTCAGTTGCAGTTTGTCCCTGGCCCTGGTTGGGGTTGTGTGGGTGGCAACCAGTCAATGTCTCTCTCTCACATCGATGTTTCTCTCTCTCTCTTCCTCCCTCCCCCTCTATTGGAAGATAAATGCAAAAATGTTCTCAGGTGAGGATTTAAAAAGAAAAAAAAAAAAAAAAAAGCCTTGGCAGGTTTGACTCAGCAGTTAGAGTGTTGGCCTGTGGACCAAAGGGTCATGGGTTCAATTCCTGGTCAAGGGCATGTGCCTGGGTTACAAGTGCGATCCCATCCCTGGTCAGGGTCGTGGGGGAAGCAGCCAGTGGATGTGTCTCTTTCAAGTCAATGTTTGTTTCTCGCTCTCTCCCTCCCTCTTTTCCACTCTATTAAAAAAAAAAAATCAATGGAAAAATATCCTTAGGTGAGACCTGAATGAAGTATTGAAGTTAAATACCTCTTCTCTTCCCAGTGGGTAATCAAACTAACACCAAAGTAGTCAGAGGCTCTGCTTCTCTGCTGGCACCCAAGAACCCAAAATTAAATCTCCTGCCTTCCGTTTTGTTTTGTCTCTGACCAGGACCTAACATGTTTTCTATAATTCTATTCTCAGTGAGTAAAGCAAAGTGAAGCTTCCCCTCTCAGAAATGAAACGAAGCAGCACAAACTGACACTTTAAACTGATGCTGAGCAAATGTGATACCAAGGGAAAAACCTGCTCAGGTGTATAAACCCCAGCCTGCAGCCAGCTTAAGCTTCAAAGCTTACTCTCTAGATTAAGTGATCCAAATAATTAAACGAGAAACAATCAGAGACTCACACAAAGAGGTATCTTGAGTTAAATGAAGACAGTAGCAGTCCTGAAAGTTTCCTAGTATTTACAAGTTAGCAATTATAATTTTGCACACTGCTAGTCTAGATTTTAGCACCAGTATACATAACCTGTTTTGGA